TTTAGCCAATACATAGTTATTGGCCAACTTGCCTAAAATGAAAAGAAACAAGCCTAATGGAAGTTATTAACAGAGGAAAAGACAAATATTTTTACAAATTTTTTTCCAATAACTATGTATCGGCTAATTACTTTAGCAATGACCCTAGCGCAAAAAAAGTGACGCAAGTTAAGTGGACCATTCTGGTCACTTGAAAAGATAAAGATATTTATTTCAACTTAATGTGAGACGTCACATCAAGTAAAAAAATTCAAAAATAAAATTTAATAACGATAAAACTCCCACTTTAAAAAAATTGCTTTTATTGTAAATTTTTCACAATGGCAACATTATGAAAGTGAATAAGATATTTGTCTCACTTTAGACGAAGCGCTTGTATGAAGACTATGTACGCTTTATTAATCTATGCTTAGGCACGGTAATACTATCTATACAGTATTACAACTCGGCTATATTTTTGAAATAAATGTCAACAGCCGCGCGGTACGTCACGGTATGACAACATGCGATAGGGCTGCCCACCTGCAGATCCTATTTTCATTACATCTGCCTACTTAGAATTTCTATCTAGTTTTGTGAATGTATCTTGTGATAGTAATTTTTATTTTATTTTGACAAACATAATACTTTGTGAATGAAATAGGTTAAATGCATATTGTTTTGTGATTAGTAGATTTAATTAAAAAAATATATTTGTGTTAAGATGTGTATGCGCCTCCTCGACTCCTACCATTTCTATGCACATGTTAACATTGGCTAGTGTCGGCTTATATACCTATTTACCTAACACCCTGTATAAATAGGTAATTGTAATTATTTTTATAAAAAAAGAGCGCTTACTGTTTTAAAAAACAACACATCGTCCGTTTATTACTGTGGCACTTTCGCGACACTCCCGACTTTTGCATGTCGAGCGCATACCGAGATTTGAATTTCGAAGGAAAGCTCGCATTTCGTCTGTTTATATGAAGTTACAATACTGTAGTATTACCGTGGCTTAGGTGTTCGATATTTGAATCGTATCGAGTCGTGTACCTTCGCCGCCACGGCGCCCGCGCAGCGCCACGCGCGCCGCCACGACTCCGCGCACGCCACCAGCGCCAGCGCGCCGCGCGTCGACTCGGCGCGCGCCAGCAAAGTCTCTACCGGCACGTACGCCGCCGCCTGTGGACATTTAAAAATAATGTTGATATGGCGCCCGATAAATAAATAATGACTGGGTGATGGAGTGATCACCCAATCAAGGAGCAGTGGGCGGGACGTTATTTGGCTGAAACGAACGAACAAAGGATGGAATGATAGTTTTTGATACGTTGCGGCACCGCACTATTTCTACGCCCACACGGGTTATTCTTGATATGATTGACAATACGCCGCATCGTACGGACAGGTAATTAATATTATAAAGAGCTGTGGTTTTCTGAATGAAGAAAAATAAAATAAAATAATTACACGTGAAAAATGTCAGCTAGTTACCGCTTGCATAGTGTGCAGTGCAATATTATATTTCGAATATACTCTACGAAGTTACATAAAGATACGCCCTACTTTTTTATTTATTTACTCAGAACAACAAACTATTACATAAATTAGTTATTAGTAATTATGTACATAAAGTACAAGTAATTTACAAACTTAAAAGCTAAACTATACATATAGAAAAAAAAATACAAGATTTACAAAAAAGGAAAATAAAAGTTAAATTGAAGTTCACTAATCACTTCTCTCATTATATGCGTATGAATATGATCTGCGTAATTTTATATTGCAAAATCGCACTTATTACAACTACCTAAGCTGCTTATAAAGCGCGTGTTCACCTCAAGCAGCAGCGCGGGCTACGGAAGGGAGAACAGACATTCAAGAGTTAGCCATGGCCATCACCAAGCTGTCACAGAGGGCAGAGGGTGGCCTCACAAGACAACTGGTCGACCTCCCAAGTTTCAATGGCGCATGTGAAGAATGGCTCGCGTTCAGAAGGTCATATGAAGACACCGCGCGCTCCTTCACGCCGGCACAGAATTTGGCGCGACTACGAAGGTGTCTCCAGGGGCACGCAAGGGAGGCAGTCAAGAGCCTCCTGTTCACCGCCGAGGATCCGGAAGAGCTGATGAAGAGCCTGGAGGTCCGGTTCGGCAGACCTGGAGCGATAGCCCTGGCGGAGTTGAAGAAGATGGAAAGGCTGCCAAGGGTCAACGAGTCATCAGGGGAGATCTGCATGTTTGCCAGCCGAGTCCGCAATGCCGTGGCCACCATCAGGGCACTCGGCAAGACGGAATATTTGTGCGCACCAGGGGCCGTGGAGTGTCTCATCGACAAGATGCCGCCGACAATGAAGTCTCGGTGGCTGATGTATCAACGTGAGCGCCGGGCAGAGGGAAAACCAGCGCTCGAACTCATGTACGACTTCATGGAAGTTGAAGCAGATATGAACAGCGACTACGCTCCCCCAGAAGTGTCCTGGGACCAGAAGAAGAACACGTTCAAGAGGCCGGTCCACCACGTCCCACAAGCGGAGGGATACTACGAAGATCAGAAGACCGACGAGAAGAAGTGCCCAGAATGCCGAGAAGATCACTGGCTGTACGAGTGCAAGAGGTACAGGGAATCCAGTGTGGATGAAAAATGGGAAATGGCAAAGAAGGCAAGAATGTGTTTCAAATGCTTGCGCTTCAAGCACTCAAGGAACACATGCCGGGCACAACCATGCAAGAAGTGCACGAGGTGGCATCACACCAGTCTTCACTCGGAGAAGTCCGCAGCAACGAAGACTCAAGAGAAGCCCGTCAAAGGAGTTGTGTCGTCGGTGCACGCCACTAGCTGCAGAACCTACCTCAAAATGACGCCGGTAAACCTCTACGGGCCCAAAGGGACAGCAAAAGTGCTCGCGCTCCTGGACGAAGGGTCCACCGTCACGCTGCTGGACTCATCAGTGGCGAAGAAGATTGGGGCGCAAGGGAAGCCGGAAGCCATCACCATCGAGATGGTCGGGGGGAACGGAATGGTGAAAAGCAACTCTCAGAAGATCAACATGAAGATCAAGGGGGTCCATTGTAGAAATAAACNCCCTGCTGTACATCGTTATAGTTACGGTCAAAGTTAGGTGGTGCCTTAGTGTTTGTTAAGAGGTTGGCTAATATAAATGCTGATCAAACACAGACACGTGTCAGGATGTTTGTAAAGAAAATGCACAAAGATTGAAGGTTATTTTGTGTAAATACATAACATATCCTTGTGTTTGCATAAACTGATCAAACCTTTTTCGCGGAGAATACTAACATAAGGGTTAGGTCATGCCCGTCATCGTATGCATTTGTGTATGTAAAGCCGGATCTCCAGCGCACATTTTGCCCTACACAATCAACAAAAACATGTCAACATTCAACAAAATTGCAAAACACGCGCTGGAGACCCGGCTTAATTTGTAACTATCAGCTATAGTCTGGTTAGTCGCATTGAGTCCAGAAACAGACAGCAATAACCGCATGGTTACCACCGTGCCTTGCCATCGCCAATGAGAACCACCAGAAACCGCGCGGTTATCACGCGTGTGAACAAAGCCTCGACTCTCAGAGTAAAAGCACAGTAGATAAATCAAACAGTACGGAAGCTTCATACAAACGCTCGAAATCAGACTCACGCACACAGACGCACGCTTTACACGAGCTCTAAGCGAACCTCGCAGTCCATCCGTCGCGGGTGTCGCGCGCGTTGCGTTTTTAATACTAATTTTATTGCATCCACTGTCCGCTGTATTTTTAAAAACATGCCACGAGAGTATTGCGTAGTTTACGGCTACTTTAACTCGGCATCTACAAAACCAGAACTTTAATTTTTTAAACTTTCCTAATAATTCTGAATGGTAAAAATTATTGAATATTACTTTTTAAATAAAATGCTTACATCTGATTTTGTAATAGTTATTTTTAAATTACGTAATTACGCTTCTTAACAATTTGTGTGTTCTATTTGATAAAGTAATTTGCTTAGTGCGCTTTTGTACTAAGTGATGAATTGTACCTAATTTAATATTTTTTAACTACTTAGTCAAATAATTTATTAAATTACGTATTTGATAATTAAATAACCCAAATAAACGTTTTAATAAATAAGTAAGTAAAAACCTTATTAAATATATAAAGATTAAGAGTGACAACCCTAACACTCAGTTGAAGTGTAGGTATTTAACTCGACGAAAGGGCTTAGTTTCCGTACTGCTTTAGCTCATATATTTACTGTGGTAAAAGCGTATGTATGTTGTATAATCACAAGCACAAACATTACCTACCGCGCCGCAGCGTCCGGGTCGGCGCCGGCGAGGCCTCGCAGCATGGCCTCGAGCGCGGCGGCGGGGTCACCGGCCGCTTCCAAGCACAGCGCCTCGGCCGCGCCCAGCTTAGTAAAGCAACCCTCAGAGTGTTGTATAATCACAAGCACAAACATTACCTACCGCGCCGCAGCGTCCGGGTCGGCGCCGGCGAGGCCTCGCAGCATGGCCTCGAGCGCGGCGGCGGGGTCACTGGCCGCTTCCAAGCACAGCGCCTCGGCCACGCCCAGTTTAGCAAAGCAACCCTCAAAGTATTGTATAATCACAATCATTACTTACCTACCGCGCCGCAGCGTCCGAGTCGGCGCTGGCGAGGCCTCGCAGCATAGCCTCGAGCGCGGCGGCCGGGTCGCCGGCGGCCTCCAAGCACAGCGCCTCGGCCGCGCCCAGTTAGACAAAGCAACCCTCACAGTATTGTATAATCACAAGCATAAACATTACCTACCGCGCCGCAGCGTCCGGATTGGCGCTGGCGAGGCCTCGCAGCATGGCCTCGAGCGCGGCGGCGGGGTCGCCGGCCGCTTCCAAGCACAGCGCCTCGGCCGCGCCCAGCTTAATAAAGCAACCCTCACAGTATTGTATAATCACAAGCACAAACATTACCTACCGCGCCGCAGCGTCCGGGTCGGTATTGTCTGTATTGTATAATCACAAGCACAAACATTACCTACCGCGCCGCAGCGTCCGGATCGGCGCTGGCGAGGCCTCGCAGCATGGCTTCGAGCGCGGCGGCGGGGTCTCCGGCGGCCTCCAAGCACAGCGCCTCGGCCGCGCCCAGTTAGACAAAGCAACCCTCACAGTATTGTATAATCACAAGCACAAACATTACCTACCGCGCCGCAGCGTCCGGGTCGGCACTGGCGAGGCCTCGCAGCATGGCCTCGAGCGCGGCGGCGGGGTCGCCGGCGGCCTCCAAGCACAGCGCCTCGGCTGCGCCCAGTTTAGCCGCTCGCACGATGTTGAGAGCATCCTCGGGCCGCACGACGCCCGGGTTCCGTTGGAGGAAATCGCTCACGTCGTCCGGCCGGAGAACACACAGCGCCTGAAGGAGGACGATTCAGCAGGTAAGGCACAGTCAATGAGGGCTATCGTATATGCTGTCACTAGTTGGCGCCACTAGCAAGTGACAGGACGTTACTAGGACTAGTGGCGTCATCCCAGTGAGTGCATGATAGTCCTCCTACAGCGTCTACCTTTTACAGTGCTCGCCAGTTTCCAGCGAGAACATTCGCCTGAAAACCTAAGTAATAGACATTACAAAAATATTGGTCAAGCAAAATTGGTCGAAGACAAAAGTTAATTGGTCATTCCTAATTCCAGTAGCAGCTGTCTTTAGGACCAACTTAGTATATAAATAATAAAGATTCGTCCTTTCATCGGCTTATAACTCTTAACTTTTATGTTTGGTTACCAGGGTGATCAGTTCAGGTGAGGAAAATGGCAGCTTACTTTTAAGTGAGCAGCGGCAGCATCGCCCTTTAACCGGCCAGTCTCCAATAAACACTCTCCGAACTCCAGCGTCCGTTCGCAAGCAGGCTCCAGTTTGTCCGCCACGGAGTCCAGTAGACTGTCCGGCATCAAGGCGGCCGCCGCGCGCGGCTTGAGGCGAATCAACGCCGCGAGGTGGCTCTCGAGGGACAGAGACTCGTCTGCTTCTAACCTATGGAAAATATACATGGCTTTATGTTGAGCCAATGAGCAGTTAACCTAGGCGCAGACTACCGACAGTTAA